TCCATTTGTCTTTACAGAGAATACATCCACGCCTAAGCTAGATATGCAGATGCCTAATCTCCTGATTGTGAGTGTGCTAATGCAGGAGTTTTGGGCACACAACATCGGCATGTGTAAACCTAGAGGTCAAGTAGAAGCTGATGAAGAGACATTAAGCAGAGCAACTGTACTATGTATTTAAAAGACCAGATGGGATGGAAACTGGAGTCACCCTAACTGATGCAAGCATGTATGGATGCTGTTCAGCATCTCGATCCAAACCAGGGTCTGGAGCAAACCAGAGGTTACAAAAACTAACCCTAAGCACCTCCCCACAAAAAGTGACCTCCATGATGCAACTTGGAAATGGGGGAGTGACAGCAGGGCAGCTGCCGTTTTCCACTAATACCCCCACGTAGGAGAGATTCTGCCTGTGCCAGCCCTCCGATTTGAAGCATGGATGCTAGACAGGACACCCCACCTTCAACTGCAAGGAGCAACCACAGTAAAAGGCAAAGCTCCAAGCCCCAGGGTGCAGCCCCAGGGTGCAGCCCCAGAGCCAGCAGGCACGACCGACCACTGGACTGCCCCACCTCCAGAGGAGGCCTGGCACGGACAATCCTCTAAAGCCCAGACCCCCAGTAACCTGGAGCTCCAGACAGCCCAGCTGCCTCCGCAAAGCCCACCTGCACATACCAAGCCCTAGGCAGGCCTCCGGCAATACCTCAGGGGCTTGACTTGGTCCCCAGCTGCCACTTGAAGCACTCGGCTCTGTAAGATCCCATAGTGCTTTTTTTGCAAAATGGAAGGGAACTAATCTCACTGCTGGCCAAATTCCAGCTTTGAGTAATTACATTCTTCTGACAAATTTTCCTTGGCAGTTTCAATGGAATATAATTAGTAAATGTAAATAGATGTAAATAGTGCTGTAAATTACACTTTGTGTGACTGTCAGAAGCACAGGAGGAATAGCAAGGGTGAAGGGGCAAAAAGAGCAGAGCTTCGTTCTCCAACATGGACAATGTTGTGGCCTTCCCTGTTACCAGACTGCATATGTCTCTGCCAGGATGGCGTGTTCAGGGCTACTACAGCAGCAGATGCCACAATCCAGGATCATTGTGTGGTTCATCACACAGATCATCTACTTCACCTCAAGTACAATTTTGACCTGACTGTGTTCGGTCATGTCCCACAGCTGTGTTCGCAAGCAGTGGCTGTGTTCCACCTCAGCTGTGCTTCTGCTTCAGCGGCAAGCAAACTGCTTCTCACACACACACACACACACACACACGCAACTGCAAAATGCTTGTCTATGATATTATTGTTTTCTATGAAATGCTTATCAAATTTGTGAATGGTTTGTGAAACCTTCTGCTACCTACTGAAGAAGTGTCATATAAATGGAATTATATCATTATCCTTCACAGCTATTTTAATGCAGCTCCATGTAATAGTTTCACCTAAAGTGGAAACAGCTTCTTCCAAAAATAAATACATATATTTAACTTCATGTAGTCAAGTAGATTTAAAAGCAACTATTTAAAGTAATGAAAATAGATTATAATGTATACCTTTCTTATATTATCTACATATTAGTAGTTTTTTTATGTGTCAAATGTTTCTAACGTACGTCATCTGCTTCAAATACAAATTGATACAGCTAGTGGGCTTAATCAGATATTTCCTTCATACAGAAAATTTAAGGATGATTTTTCAATAATACACTTATTTTTATTCAAAATTTGCATACAGAAAATAGCTAGCAGAAACTAGTAAAATGAAGGGAAAGTTTATTTTCTTAACAAAAGCTTCTTGCACTATTTAGCTATAACAGAAGAAACAGATGTTTCAGCTTTACAATACCATGTCTTGCAAAACTTCCTTCTAAATGACTATTCATGCTCTACATGTTTTGGACTGTGTATGCAGAGCTCTGCTAACAGTCATGGGAAGCATTGCATACATTAGTAAAGCCCACATTAAGATAATTAGCGCTAAAAAAAAAAAAAATCAACAAGCCTTTTTTTCCCCTTTATAGTATTGATTTAATGTGGGTGAAAAATGCCAGACTTTCAATCTTGAAGATTCATGTTCCACCACAAAGTGGGAGATGGAGCCAGCTTTTCCCAGTGTTCTGCCAATAAACTCTTAAATTAACCACCTATCAAGGACTAGGAGGAAGAACCAGGCTCTATGGTCTATCAACCCTTAGTCTCTCTGATGAACCTATGAACACGGAGAATGGGGAGCATGCTACCTGGGACAAGGAACTCAAATTCTTAATCTTTGTGGCTGTACCTACCCAAGTATTTTCTCATAAAAAATTTTCAAAATTGCTGTGAACAGCAGAAATGACCAGGAGGCAGTATTGAACCTGCACTGCTGCAGAGAGGGCTCTGGGCAGTGGTAGCAGCTATGGGAAAATTTCTACAGTGGAAGAGGCCTTTGAAGCTCATCTGATATTTCAAGTGTGTATCTTCTAAATGGCAAACTCTGTTTTAATACAGACTGTTTTCATAAGGGCTCTGTGACCTTTTGCAAATCCTATCATGGGTTATACACATCATTTAACTTTTTGTCTGGCAGTAACCTTACCTTCTGCAGAGCCAAACAATGTCAATATGGATACAGGCACATGACGAGATGTGATTGGATTATGGCAGCTTAAAAAATGACTGCCTGGTCCCTCAAGTTGCTGAAGTCAGGGCAGTTTAAGGTAGCAACTTTTGTTTAGTATTAAATGGCATGTTAAGAGCATGCACATGAACAGCTCTGAATACTCTGTGCATAGGTGGCTACTTGCTAAGCCACTTTACAGCTTCAGCTTATTTCCCTCGGGAAGGATCTGCTGCAGACATGCCTCTGAAGAGAATAACATGTCCTACTAGAATGTTTAGTATTTATTTTAGTAATAGAGCTATCCAGGTCAGTTGAGGATGACATTTTGCTTAGTGTTTGGAAGGGTTGCTTTAAAACCACTTGCTTTCAGGCAAAGAGATAATCAGTCTAAGCACTGCAAGACTTTTATAATGGAAGGCCTACACATCTTTTTTCATTCAGTCTGCAAGAGTAAACCGAGCACAGCTGTTTTACTGAAAACAACCCACTGGTATTTAAGTAGATTAACAAAATTAACTGTGAAAATCCTCTGCTATGTGAAAGCCAGTAACCTGTTGGCCACAAGGAGGCAGGGCAAGGATTCAGTAAACTCAAAGAAATTGCTTTTATTTAAAAAAAAAAGACCAAAAAAAAAAAAAAAGAGCATTAAATTAGTTCAGTCATGAAACTCTGAACTGTTAGGCAAGGCAAGATAAAAAGTGCTTTTCAGTCACAGTGTGTGGTTTCAGTATTGCTGTTTTATTCCAAGAGCAGCAAATATCTTAAGATACCAAACAATAGCTGATCTGGCAGCAATTTTCTGCTTCTTTTGAAGAAGCAGATCACACATGTTTCTTCTTCATCACTTCTGTGTGATGTAGAAAAAACTCTACACTAAGCTTTGATAGCAATAGTGGATTTACCAACTCAGAGCAAGAAGCCGTACTGCTAGGTTCACAAGGTGTTGCTCCCAAGCTAATAAATCCTGCTTCTGGGCAGCTTTGGGAGCTCTGACTTTCACTCCCTTGGCACTTCTAATTCTGGGCTAAAAGCAGGCAGAGGTGGTTTGGTATCTGTAGTCCCCTACCAAGAACCTTACGCACAGCACAGTACAGTGATGCCTCCCTTAACCAGAACTTTAGAACATTCCAAAATCAGCACTAACTTGAGGTCAAACTTCTAAATGACAAAGGGGCAAAGGAGGAAAATAAAGCCACTGTTTCAGAGTTAAGTTGAAAAGGACTAAATTTAAAAGTGAAACAAAGCCTTCCACAGTACCAGCACATCACAGTCCAAATCTATGAGTGATCTTCTGTTTTAGATGAAGTGACTTTACTCCTAGCTCTACCACTGCATGCTAATGAGCTAGGTAATTTCAGTCCCCTATGCCTCTGTTTCCTCATCTTTTAAGCAGTTGCCTTCCCTCTTTGTGAAGCAGTATGAGGTCCATGAATAAAAAACATGCTACAAGAACTAGTTATTATTAATGCAATTCAGATATGGAATGCACCAGATGGTAAAATCCCCAGGATTTTAATGAACTATTGTAACAGAACATATGTAATATGACGTTATTATAACAGGCATTTAAATGTATAGTTAGTACATAGAAAATGACCTGCTCTGCTCTCAGTAACTCCACTGGAATTATTTTGGATTTATGTCAGATAATACTAGGAACACAAAATAGCCCCGTATGTGCAATGTGGTAAGGTTTTCATAGCAATCCTATCTTAACTATTGCTTGTCCTGCTTTTATTTTTTGCTGGGGGTATTGTATTTAGTGGTCTGCTAGAGTATGCTTTCTGCATTTAATTCTGAGCAGGAAGTAAATAAAGTACCCTCATGCCAAAGACTAAAATGCCTCTGACCAAGTATCTCTTACCCATCATCATAAAATAGTCGTCATGAAGGAGCAAGAACTTTTTGGTTTTTTTCCACTATATTCTGTAAAAATTATGTCTTCAGTCACCTTATGCTAGACTTGGTAAGCAATTCATGCTTGTGTCAGAAAAGGCAAACATTCAGTTCCAGACTGTGAGGGCAGTAGTATCTCCTTTCTCCCACAGCAGCTGAGTTCTGGACAAGATGAATTATATGATTGGGCAAAGGTGAAAAAACAGGACTGCAGCTCAAGCCATTGGCATCATGCATTACTGTCAGAGGCAGGTACTGACTTCAGTAAAGGGGGAACATGAAGGTACTATCAGTATGTATAATAATTCTAGCTCACCTACAATACAGACTATAAAACTCGAGTGAACTGACATTTAATATATGAGAGGCTGGAAGCAAGATCTCAATTTCACATCATAAATTAGCCTTTGTGCTAGTGCCCAAAGATTTGGCTGATTACTCATTGCTTTCCCTTAGTGCTTAAGCAGTCTTTTCCAAAGCAAGACAGTTAAACCACAAAAACGTACTGTAGTGTCCACAGCTCTGACCTTCCCAGCAGGAACGTGCTTTGGAATGGGTTCTTCTACCGATATCATCATGCAGCCTTCTGCTCCAAGAGTAATAATTACGAGCTTACACCCTCTTTCTAACAGCATGCATCCCACTTTTTCAGCATCTTCAAGGTTGCCAACTGGGATGCCCGTTAAAATTTCTGCCTGGAAAATAACCCACGCAAACAAAAATCATAATCTGACAGCATTAATTTTTGGACAACAGTTGCATTTGAAAACAGTATTTAGTATCTTTTTAAAATGTATATTATAGGATGATCATGAAACCACTTCCTACACCGATATTCAGCTATGCCTTGCTCCTTGTTTGAAATCAGCATCTACTTCAGGCACAGCAGACTAACGGAGAGCAGCCTAGGCAGGGACACAGGAGGCATGGGTTCTGTTCCAGCTTCTATGACTTACCTGGCATGCAACCCTTAGTGTAATCACATTTCTCCCACATGCCTCAGTTTCTTCATCTGTGAAAAGGACACAATGACATAGCCTTCGCAAAAGCATTTTGTGGTCTTATGTGAAAAATGCTACATGGCAACTCGGTCACTATTGTTGGGGGATATTTATCACTAAGTGAGAAACTTTTATATTTTTTTTTAAATTGTCACTGTTCAGAGGGAAGTCACAAGGGAAAATCTCTTCAAGGAAAAAAAAATAATTGCTCAACTTTGACCACTCTGTTTACTTTAATATATATTTTTAGATAAGAATACCTAAAAGTTATCTGAAGCCTTCTTTGGGCAAAGGTCCGTTACAAGATTATTATGTATTTGTGTTATGGCCATGTCCATAGGCCTCTGTCAAGACTGAGACTCTTCCATGTTGGCTCTGTACAAACACAGATAAACTCTTCTTCTAACAGATGGTGACCGTAAGTCAACTTCTCCCAATTGGCTCTTAAAATTAATCTCTTCTAGTTCCACCCAACTAAGAGCAAAATTTCCCCAAAATCTGCAGCGAAGACTCCAGAACCAAGCATCCTTTTTGCTACTTCATACATTTTCTTGCTGGCATAGCATTGCCAAGTGTCATGTACTTTTTCTTTTTGTTTTGGCAGGGAAGAAAACAAGAATGAAACAGGAAGAAAGGGAAGAGAAAATACAGTGTGTTTTATCTGAAACAGTCTAGCAGGCAGTACTCCTGCATAATACGGTATGCCTTCTATTGTAAGTAAACAGGCATACTGTATTTTGCTGTCTTTACTGAATCTTGTCCTGCTTGCTTGAGAAGAGGGAAGTCCTACTTTATCTTGCACTATAAGGCTGCTGCTGGATCCTGAAAAATGCAGTCTGAAGTATTTTCAGATAACTGCCTAATAACTGGGCATCACTTCCACACTCTTACGGCTTATTTTCAGTGGAAAACTTACTCTGGAACCTATTCACCAGCTACACTTCATGACCTCTGCTGCATGGGCAGCTCGGCTTCTTGGGAAACAGCTGCTGAAACATTTCAAACTACCTTCCTCCGCATTACTGCAACGTGAATTGAGTGCACATACTTCTTGATATAATGGACTGTAAACTCTAGTGATTAAACAACTGCTTCACGAAGCACAGGCCATGCCTGTAGTAAAGAGAGGGAGGGCAGACAGCTGGGGACAGGAACTACTACAGCCATCCCAAAGTAAACCGCCCCCAGCATGAGTCAGTGCCTGCTGCTCGCCACTGTCATTTCCTGCGTTTCAGCCTGACCCGGGAGAGAGAAGCCATCCTTAGGCTCTGAAGGGCCAGATTATGCCAACACACTCCCTAGACTTTATAGTATCGTTAGCAGAGTACTTTCTGGGTTTAGTTTTCAAAATTACAGGACCAAGTTCTGCAGCCCCTACTTAGACAAGTGCACAAAAGATTTCAAGCACTGTTGATCTGATCGCTACATGGCAGAATCTGGTGTGGCAGGCCTTGGTGGGTAAACTTGTGCACTGCAGGGGCAAGGTGTGGTTAACACGTACACGCAATTTAAAACTACTTTTGTTAACCACACTGATCCCAGACAAGAATATCCTAAGCTTTAAATTATAAGAAGGTAACTAAACCTATCCAATTTTCTCTTTGGCACGTCACCATGCTGCTCAAACTTCTCTTGCAGTACCAACTAAGCAAATTAAACCTATTCCAGTTTTTAAAAGGTTATAAAAGTATTTTCAAATAAGAAAATCTGTTTCAAAGAATATCTCACAAAACCTTTTGAATGTATCTTCTTGCAAGGTTTGCAAGAAGTCAATACACCAATAATGGCTGTGGAGTAACTAAGGATAGATAATAAATAGTGTTAAAATATAGATATACTCTAATATTTAAACATCTAAAGAGTCTGTGTCTCTTAATGAATTCTAAGATCTCTGGAGCAGGAATGATGCATTCCTGTATTCAGAATACCTAATGCATCACGTTACAAGAATAAAAATGGATTACCACAAATCCTTGAATGAAACTGGCTATCTGAATTTCCAATGTACTTTATGAGGGGCAATAATTCCAAACATTCTACCTATGTTGCAGATTCTCCAGGATGAAAGTGGATTTGGTTTTGGTAGAGAAACAGCAAATCTAATCTGGGTTTATTTAAGAGGTATTTACACTTCTGTAAGCTCATGAGCAAGGTAAATGAAGTATTTAAACATAATATTCTTACTAACGAAATGCACATGCTGTATGCTTAGCATTAGGATTGCACCCCTCTTGGTGCTTGCTGTGTCACAAGTCAACAGGATTTTTCGCTTGGGTCGTGAAAGAATTGTTCTGGGACTGATATGTGAAAGGTTTTGCAGAAATCTTTCTTTTCATCTTTACACTACTTATACCAATAAACAAAATTATTTGAACAGGCAGAGTCTGTATAAAAGTAGATCTTCAACTGCTTGAAACCACTATCATCTAACTCATCTACAGCAGGATGGTAAAACTAAAAAACACTGGAACAAGCTGGAAGAACCATAAAAGCAGCAGAAGCCAGACAGATTCTGTGCCAATAATTAGAGATTGCGGTAAATGTCAACTGATGTTAAATACTGTGGTGAGTTTTTAAGTTCCTCCCTTCAGTAGAATCTTATTTAAAAAACAAACTGTGGTACAATTGAAGGAAATAACTAATGGTTATGTAAAGAAAAAATTAAATAACAATACTAAAAGGCCAATATGGACATTTGCCATAGCACTGTACAAAAGAGCAGCAAATTAAGAATTTTATTTTTCTGCAGCTAGTCTCATAAAACTCCTCAGTTAAATGAACCTATTAAAGCAAGAGGACATTCCACAAAACTGCTGTCAGAATAAACCTATGATGGATATTATACAATTAATCCACACAGAATTCTCTTAATTTTGTTTACAAAAGTGGAAGACACATTTAACTGAAGCTTTTAATTTGACTGATAGGAAAGTTCTTGGCCATAATCCTCACTAATCTTAGTTAACTCTCCATGTCTCTTTACACTGTGGCGTCTAGTCACAGTAAGTTGACACAAACCAGCACTGCTACAGAAGAAAAATGATCCTGCTTTTTCCCTTCCACTCTTGTCCACATGGCCTATTCTCTTGTGCCAGCACAGCCATTTGTGTGGCCAGGAAACAAATTGGATTGCAAGGCAGATCTGTGTTAAAATTAACACCCCTCCCCCCAATCCCACACCATCCCCAAAAGCCAACGCAAAACAATTAACTTCTTTCAACAGCAGTACTAGTTTGCACTGGCTAAAAGTGCGAATGAAAGTATGATATGAACCTTTGCCAAGTGTTCCTAGCTGTGATGCATTTGGGGCAGCGTATGGCTTACACAACCACTTTCAGAGAGATGTTCTGGATCCTCTGTTGGCATTTGCGAGACCAAATCTGCAGCATGGTGTCTAGTTTTGGGATCTTTGGCACAAGTAAGACACTGACACACTACAGCACACTACAATGGAAGGCCATCAAGACAGCCAGGGGGCCAGAGACAAGGATGTACAAGAAGAGGCTGGGAGAAGCAGGCTTGTTCAGCCTTAAGAACACAAGGCTAAGGGGAGATATAATTGCTGTCTACAGCAATTTAATGGGTGGGTATAGGGAACAAAGAGCCAGACTCTTCTTGAAGGTACACAGGGATAGGGCTAGAGATAACAAGCACAAGCTGGAACATGGGAAATTCCACTATAAGCACAAGCTTTTTCACCACAAGGGTGATGAAGCAGTGAAACAGGTGCCCAGAGGTCTGCAATCTCCATCTTTGGAGATTCAAAACTTGACTGGACAAAGCTGTGAGCAATCTGACCTAAACCATCCATGCTTCACCAGGGTGTTGGACTAGAGACCTCCAGAGGTCTGTTCCCAAATTCTGTGATCTTATGATCCTCAGCAAATATAAACTGGTGAAATAACAAGAAGTGTTAATTCTTTGGGGAGCAGTCCATCATTTGGACTGCTTTTTGTGCACCTAGCACAGTAACAACTTTGCAAATGTTGCCTGGTACTGCTGGAACAGAATTAATAAATAACAATGGGGAAACTGTGCCAGTTTTAAGGCTAACCCATCTAAAATGACATATGATAATTTAAAATATTTTTAAGTTTAAATATTTAAACACAGTAAGCCAGTTGGCTACAAACTTGGCTTGTACCTTAGGAGATTTCTCTGAGAATGACAGAACAAGAACTCAACCTCATTAATTCTAACACATGTGAACAGTCCCAAAGAAGTAATGAGACAGATTTGGTATATAAGCAATTGCAATATCAGGCCACAAGCCAAGCTAATTCCAGTTGTTTCAAATTATAAAATTTTTACATACAGACAGAAATACTTATCGTGCTAGAATAATTGAAAACTGACTGAAATTAATTGGCTTGAAGCTATTCCCTCCCCTCTCAAAAGTAACATCTTCCATTTTAGACTAAATATGGGAAATTTCATAGTTTCCAGCAACTGATAAAATAGGCTTTAGAACAAAGTTGGAATTAAAATATACTGTGAATTGCTGGCAACTTCTACATAATGTCACAGTAGTAGCTTTCCATTACTTAGAACAGAAAAGGCAAATTCAAGAGATGTTCTGAAATATTTTAATTCTAAAGGACCTATTTTTGTTTTGACTACTAGAGCTATTAGTTATTTTTTTCTTAAGAAAGACTATCCCTAGTATTAATCTCTCTATATTAATAAGCAGTATCTTAAATGTCCTAATCCAAGACCCCAGATATAGTTTTATAAACTTGGTATTCTCTGAATCTTGTAAAAGTCAATACTGTCTCTTGATTTTGGACACATTAGCAAGAATTTTCATTATTAATATTTCTTCCAAAAATGATCTAGCCTTTAGTAATAGACAACAACACTTAAAAGGAAACAATAGGATAATACCTATTTTTCTGTATTATTTTTATACATCTTGCAGCTTTATTTAACAAAATTAGCAATCAACTTATATTTAGTTTTACTGCTTTCTACCATTGAAGCCCCGAAGTATTCTGCTAGCATTTAATTAAATCTTTGCTAGGCCTTTCTTATTTAGATCACAAGTCTGATACCCATTTTACATAAGGGAGAAAGCAGCTCCCAGTTTTGCATTAAAAATAGCTTGACAAACTAAATAATTTGCTGTAACCATTTAGGAGTTTTCCTTCTCCTGAAGGGCTCCTCAGTATTCTTTGAACGGAGAAGCAGCTGTTCTTCAAAACATTTAGGACCAAATTGAAATCGCTGATGTGCAATATATTTTGGTTCCTAACCTGCAGGGCTGTGTAATTGCATGCACACACTAAATAAGAAAAACAACACATGAACTGTATTGACATTGTGGTTGTGCCTAGGGCCATACTGGAGCAAGGACTCATGCAAATACGTGGGAAAAAAATGGTAAGTATTCCAAAGAGCTCATCTTGTATAGGGTTGTCTCTTTTTCAACATTTATAGATTACTGAAAAGCACAACCATTGGTTTTCACTAAGATGACATCGGATACATTTATTTTTCATTAGAAGAATTAAGGGAATGGAGAACTAGCACATTCCTGCACAAACCTCAGGGATTAGGCTGTGCTACATCTGGGAATTAACAAACTAGTCTCAACAAGTTTGATCTTTCTGGGAAAAGATAAAACTGAACTACAGGCTAAGCAAAGAAAGAACTGATAACCTTGCAAGATTTATTCTGAGTTTTTTTGTTCATGAACCACATAAAAAGAAAGTAATGTCAAACATAAAAAAAATTTATTATTGCAACAAGCAAAAGTGAAAAGAACAGCTTGTGAAGAGCCTTCTAGACAAACTAATGGTAGATAATTCACTGATAGTATAATTTTGTTTGCTTTTCTCTAGCACATAAATCCATAAGAACAAGCTGTGCTCTTATACCAGATACTGCATGTGATTTCATTAAATCCTAAAGCATTTAATGAAGGATGGAGTATAAGGTGTGATGTATTTGATATTTGCATGTTTGGGACCCGACATCCAAAGGCTGTCTGAAACTATAGTTGACATTTTAAAACTTTTATTCTGTGACAAAGGCATTGCAGATCAAAACTCCTGACCTTCATGGCAGTAAATAAATAACAGAAACTTCTGACTCAGTAATAATTCAGCTAATCACAAGGACTACCCCCTTTTTCTCATCCGTAACAATACAAACACTCCACATAGTGTATGAGATGTCTTAAGCTAAATGGCTAGAGTTCTGTTCTACAGCTAACATAGTCTTCTGTCAGAAACATATCATTCACATAATATCCACAAACCACAGGATTTTATCATTTAAAAGCATGTCTTGGTGAACAAGAAAGATAAGGACATTTTGGTAAAATTGTCTGCTAAATACTTGTAAATTTAAATGACTAAGAAAGCCAAATGAAGCAATAAAAGAGAATCAGTGTAAATTTAATCTTGTCCTAGCATATACGTCTGTGTTAAAAAGAATGTTTTAGAAGCAGTTGAACTGGATAGCTCTAAAGAGTTAATCTTTAAACCCAAGACGATTCATCAACTATTTAAAAGACTAAGTAAAGATAAAGCAGAAATACACTATTTTTTTTCTGGTAGTACCTAAAAATCCCAAATAAAAAATAAAAGATCCGAAAAGGGGTAAGGCAGGAACACAAATAGGATTTTGGCTAGAAGGAAGTTGAGACTTAGAAATACCAAGTAGGAGGGGCAATGGAGCTGGAACAAAATATTTCAGGAAGGCAGCTGTAAGCAGCACATTCAATAAATTTGGCCATAGAGAATAATATTTAAAAAAAATCATAATATAAGAATGGCCATAGTGGCTCAGAGCAAAGGTCCATCTTATCCAATTGCTCTTTTCTGACTGTGACTGCTAGTAGATACTGAGGGAAATAAAAAAACATGTATAAAAAGATCTTTTCTCTGTATATATTCTGAATCATCAAAGTCTTAGGTACTTCCTGATTTAAGAAGATGAAGGAAATGCAGATGTAGTTGGTTGAATGGACAAAGTTTAAGAAATTAGAATTATCTTTGAGATTTGTAGAATTAACTTTATGCTTTTAAGTGTCATACAGAGATGTGACTGGTAACCTTTATTTGGGTATGTAAACATTTATCTCTATATCAAACTTCTGCAGTGCATACATTACAGGGATCTGAAATTAAAGAAAGTCATGAAAGAAAACAGAAAACAGATGGCATATGAATATATAACAATTACTAAAAAAACAACTTTCAAACTTCTGACATAAGAAAAACAAATGCTTCATATTTCTTTTCTCAGCAAAAAGAAAGGAACAATGGCAACAGTTCATCCCTGAAAATCAATTCAATAACAAATCAGACACACAGAGAGGATGAAATCAAACATAATTGATTACTACAGTCGTGCTAACATAATTGATTTTATCGCCAAGTATGGAAAAGTTATTGTTAAAAGCAAAGGTATTTATGTGCCATTCTTGTTCTCAGAATATGCTGTAGGAGTCCCACACTTGGATCTGTGCTCCCATGATATGGGTGGCAGTAACTTCCATAGGTCTACCATTTCCATAAATTCAGAAGAGATAAGCCTCCTGAACAGTAGTAAGCATATTTCTGTGTCTAACACTGCATACAGTGATCCCAGCTATCTTCAAATGGTAATCACTTTTTAAAAGAAAATAGCAGAAAAGAATGCAAACTGTACCCTCAGCTCAGCAGGAAAGGTAGATGAGTTAGCAGGGATCTATTATAATTATACACCTGTATTTCTTGTTCTCCAAATAGAAGTAATTTTCCTTTCTCCATGTGGTCGTAATAATAATACACCCTGGCTCCAGCAAGCTAAACTTCTCGAAGAATGTCTCTTTCAAGACTGTCCTCTAGCAATAAAGTATAACAAAGGGAAAACTTTAACATGTGTGCTGCAAGGAGCAATGAGAGAAAAGTTGGGAATAGACAAGTAATGAAAAACAAAGTTTTGTTTCTAATATATGGGGGATAAGTTTTTACGGGCGGGGGGGGAAGTAACTAGTGACATGAAAAAAGCAAACAACGAATGACATTTACTAAATTGGTGGGACAGTATTGGTGTTCTCTGCCCAAAATATGCAACAATACACTGTTTAGCCAATCCAGGGGCATAGTCCAGGCATAAGTGCTTTCTGAAAGAATGAAGAAAACACCATATGGGTGTCCTGCTAGTCCCCTGAAAAAGAATAAATACTTTGCCTTAGCATTCTCTTCATCACATATAATTGAGTTCTGGTAGCTGTTGGACAGTGTCTGAGCCACAAATTTCATCACTGCCAGTTACACTGGAAACTTTGCCTTCCAGAGACCTGAGGAGCCATGGTATCTCCCACCTTCCTACTTTGCTAATTCCTGAATGCTCTGGAGTATCTGAACTCAGCAGACACATACCAAAACATCCCAGAATAAAACTCGGATGTCCATTTGGGTTACTTAGACTGACCCTTAAATGCTAGAAGACTCGTGAAATGAGAACTTCTGATATGGTTTGTGATGGACTCTGATAGACATTGTCATCAGACAAAAAATCCTGTAAGTAAGCAGGGCCAAGTAAGTAGCTCTTCCCTCTCCTCTCCACCCAAAGGTTCATTGCAGAAATATTTGTTGGAGATAACTTTAACTATGATCAAAGCATGGCTTCTATCCACTAGGTTACTTCTCCCACATTCCTGTTTATATAAAGAGAGGATGAGGGGAAGGAACACAGCATGCATAATGCTAATAAATAAAAAATTTAAACGAAGGCCTTATGAGACAAGCTTGTCTCTTGTGACAATAATAATTTCCTTTGGGAGAAATAACACACTTGAATTAGAAAAGAGAGGGAAAGGAGGAAAAAAAAAAGCAGAAACATACAGTTGAAGGGCCAGAGAAACAGATTCACTGAAAACAGACCTGACAGGAAGAGGCATATGAAGCTACTATTTACCATCAAGTGCAGCATGCGTGCATCACCTCCTGGCAAGCAAGTTTAAAACTGTCAGAACACTATGGCTAGCACATTCCTGCTAATCATATCAAGGGACCACAAAACAAGAACAAGGATCTATTTTAATATTTACTACTCAGTGATAACATTTTAAAAGTGTCCTTTCATAGATTCGTTTTACTCATCTGCTTGTAAAGAAGGCTGGACATAACTTTTCTGCTGCAAACAATTTAATTTTTAGTGCAATCTAATGGTATTCTAGAATACTCCTCTCTGCTCATTAGGTCAGGGATCAAACTTGTCACCTCCAAAAGTCCTACGTAGGACTATGAGGAGCATGCCTTGGTTTTCCTGCTCCATATGCTGCATTTCTGAGAACAGAAGCCCTCTGAAATTTTACTGCTTAAGACTCTTTCTTTAACATGACATATGACCTTACCTCAGTTTCATTGCAGCAGAAGATATCAGAATGGGTATAAAATTGTGGATCTAGGTCAGCAAGGGCTGGAGCTGCATTAAATAAAGTCTTTACTGGAAGGAAAAAAAAAAAAAGTCATAAACCATCACCTGAAACCCCACTGTGGTTAATTCATGGCCCTCAATGTTTATTATTAACACACAAAAGGCTCTCAGTTTCTGTGTCCTCATTTTATAGAACTGCTAAAGTTTTGTTTAGTATATTAAAGTTCCCTTCTAATTCATGTGCAGGCACCTGTCATGATGGGAACATGAAAGAAGAGTAACAGAAAAACTAACCAAGAAATTTTTAAATTAAAAAAAAGGGGGGGGGAAGCCTTAGACACTAATGCAATTTGTTTAACTGATGATGCTTCCTCCAGGATTTTAATAAGTTTTACAAGAACTGATTTAGTTCTAGAATTTTTTCAGTGTTGTTATCTGCATTCTGTACATGAAGAAACAGGGGTATGGAGTAATGAAGGGCATGTCCAGACAAAGAGTTAAACGTGCTCTGAATGTGTTGTTACCTAACTTGTTCAAACTGCCACATTATAAAACTGTAGTGTAGACAAGGCACTGTATATTTTTAATATGCTGTCTGGCAGAGCTAGGCCTAAACTTAACACGTGGTAGAATATGTTAGTTAACCTAACTTTAAACAGTAGCCTAAGGCCCCATGTAACAGCAGAAAAGGTTTGTCATAAGGACAGTGTAAGTGACTTACTCACTGTTAACACAGGAAGTCTGCAGACTTGGCTTCTCACTTTGCCAATTTTATGATTAATACTTCTGTGTCTTAACCACAAGGCCATCATTTTTATATAAAGCACATTCTCTTACTTTAGAAATATTCCTTATAGTAAGTGATCAAATCTTCCAATTTGGATGTCTAAATTTTCAGTCCTAAACACATACTCAGACCCTAAGCTATGGCACATAATATTCAGACACCCTGAATGCTTCTGAATCCCATTTAATGCCCTAAAAGAGAAAGATGGACAGAGACTTCTGAAATCTGAATACCAAGAAGTTTAGAAGATGACCTTTTTGATTAACACTCTGAAAGTTTTAGCCTTTGACTGTACAACTTTATCATGTCTCTCTACCTGCCTCGTTAAAAAGAGTATTAAAGTGACAAAGACATTTACTCAGAAGTCAGAAAATGCCAGGATTAGGATTTCCAATGAAATCTTAATTTGGCTCCCTTATATTATTACAATACAGTATGTATTATAATAAACTCTTTAATTATATGATCACATACCACTGAAAAACAGCATGTGATCACGTAATTAAAGACTGCAACATAATACATATGCAGAAAGGAGACAAATTAAGGTTTCACAGGCAACCTTAACTCTTGCATTTCCTATTTTCTGAATTGCAACCCTAATAATTTTTTTTTTTTAAACAGAAATCTTTAAGGTATACTTTCCTAGGTAAAACAAACAAACAGCACATATTGGAAAACAAACTGTCATGTGGTATCATACCAACATATATATGGGTCAGGAGCAGCACTGGAAGTGTTCCAACTTGGGTTTTAAGTAATACAGACTCATCATGAACAGGGTGAAATACATTACTATTAGTTTGCTGTCATATTTATTATCTGCTGAGCAGGGAAACCCTAAGATTCTCTTTCAGGCTGTGAAGAAGAGCATGGCTTGTGAACAGGGTAATCTGTTTGGTCCCCCTGAGGAACACCAAATTATTTTCTGCCCAAATTCTTTCTCTCCCTTTGCCAAGATCCATTCTCCTCACCTAATTTCCATTCTTTATCCCTCCTTGCATAGGCACTATGCAATAGTAACCTTCTTCACTCAACTTTCATCACATCGTATCTCTTTACGCCCCACCTCCTATGCTTTTTTCCCACTTCCAGTACCCACAGCCTACTCCTTGACTCTACCTCTAGCCCAGTCTTGATTCAACAAATCCTATTCTCTGTTGCAATTTTGTTCCCCTTTCAGTTTCTCTCTTCCTTCTTCCTCTGCCACCCCCAAAATCAAGCAAATGTCTCCAATACGTCCCTTGTCTGAAACTTACTCTCCCTCCCCAGCATTCCCGTCCAGCTTTTGTCTCTTCTGTATTCAAATCAAGCAAGCCCCTGCTCTGCACTTCCTGGGCCTACAAGAGATCTTTAACTGTATAAAAGAAGTTGCCTAAAACCAGATTCAGGAATCATGCTGGAAGTCATGCTGCCCAAATGGACAACTGCCTGTGTGGACAGACTCTCAGGGGAAGCTAGCTGGGAAGCTCTAACAATTTTCTCAAGACTATGTGAAAGGTAGTTATTTTCCAAAGGCAGATAATACAGTAAAAATCAGGCAGATTTCCATACTGTTGTAAAGGCTTATCTTTATAAGATAGCTCCTTGCTATCAAGTTTTAAGTGAATGTTAAGGTAGCCAGTATTCATAATTTAAAAGGGGTAGGGTGGGAGGCATTTTCCATTGCCTGGTTTCTACAGCCACTATGCTTTGGCAGAAATTACAGAGTTAACCACAGACAAACAGCTGATAGGAAAAATTGCAGCCCAAGATTAACAAGTTGAAGCATCTGAAAAATAGATCCTTTACTTGCAGGTGACATGGAACCTTAACAACTGAGGCTGCTTCCAGCCCATTCTTCACTACAAGTATTAATAGGCTGGACATTATCAGCCATTTTTTATGGAGTCTGTCATTACAGAAGCCCCAAAACTGCTTTACAGACTTTGATACACAATAACGCTTTGCCATCAATGAAGTGGTCCCCCTCTTTGAAGCAGCAGCAGCTTCACAAAACGTAGCCATCAAAAACCTAGAATTTTCCAGTCAGATTTCCACTACAATTTATACCCATTTCATATAATTATTCACAAGCCTTCCTCCCTTCCTCCCCTCCCTCCCTCCTTTCCTTCCTTCCCTTCCTCCCCTCCCTCCCTCCTTTCCTTCCTTCCCTCCCTCCTTCCTCCCTTTTTTCCTTCCTTCTCCCCAAGATTGTCACAAGATCTTTAATAATTAGTGCCACAATGAGAGGATGTCAGAACATGAGATGTCCCTCTCTAGCTTACAGATACAGAGGATGTTCACTGAACAGAAGCAAAGGGTTCTTGCCTGCGTGTCTACATTCTTTCGCCATCTTATTCTTTTTTTCTTTCAGTAAGAATGAAGAAAAACAAGCAAAAAAACCCTTGAAACAGAGGTTTGAGGCATCTGGGTATGCATCTGTTTTAAACAAAAATAGTCTAGTGCACATCCTAACATGCAGTACTGCATTATACATGAGGGTATTGCAGGCAAGAAGAAGGAAAATTGCATTAACAATTTACAGTTGGCTAAGGATAGATTTTTACAGTGCTACAAACTCAGCTGTTTACTTAGATTTGACTGCACATGACATTTGAACATGTATAGCCTATTGCTTTAAAGCAGAAGCAACCAAAGCTTTCCCGATATGAGAGCTGCACAAGGATAGCAGACTGACAGCAAAGAACTATAGCTGGCCCACAGATAACCACTATCTTTTCTCGATATATTGTGCTGTCTACAGTTGCTAAATGCTTGCATGTCTGTTCCATGTATCAGGTTTGGATTTTTTTTAATTGCCTGTAAAAAAATCCTATCTTTTCTTCTGTCACAGGCTGGCATCTTGCCGTATGAGGGTGACAAAAGTGTGAAGCATCTTACCAAAACTGTGCATAGACTTAGAAGTAGACAAAATAAGTCTGGGATATTGACTTATGACTCAACTATAGTCCATTAACCACTAGATTAAGAATGTTTTAATCCATTTTCATAAAACATAATGAAAAAATATAGTAAGCTCTGTTCCACCCCCCTGCTCCCCCTATATTTTAAGCATTCCAGGTGCTACTGGGTTTTCTAAAGTTTTTAATTTTTATTTAGATTTGCATGAACCCAGTTTTGATATTTCAAACAGAAGTCAAAATAATTTTTCCCCATGCAGTTCTATTTATAGTGTTTATGACTATTACCACCATAGTTTCAGAGCCACACTCTCCCAGGCTCGAATGTAACATAGCTGCTTAAATCAGCACAAAATACATGAACACGATGCATAAAGTTCTGCTACATCTGATGTCTTCACTAGTGCATGAACACCAGTGATAACAACAAGTGCGGAACAGATACTGGTGCAGAAGGAGGACTGAAGAGTCGACAATCCCAACATGCTATGATCTACTGGAGCAAGCCTGGGCTCAGCTGCAAGGAACCAGTTAGTTCTGATCCCAGTTCCATCCCTGACCTGCTGCGTGACTGACCATACTATGAGCTGTACCCTCCCAGTCTTATCTTCTGGATAGACACAAATGACATATTTTTAATCTCATCTAGATGCCTCACATAATTATTTACTTAGTGTTCAAATACTACGGTAATTGTGCTTGAGTAACTGAAAGCATTACAGGCACTTAAAAACATTATGTTGTTAGCGAAACCTGATCCTGTTCAAGCAAAATGTCAGCTTTTATCTAAATATATGCTACACTGAAGGAATAATGGCCTATATTTAAAAGTACAGCACAGTAACAGTTTACTAATAATTTCACAGACCATGACTCTGTCTATTCAATGGCTGTATGCCAAGTCACACTCTTAAGAATTTTGGTTAAGAAGAAAAAGCATTTATTTTACTTTAAGGATGTTAAGTTCTATATAGAAAACCACAGCCATTCCTACTGCTGTGCTGGGAGAACAAGGGCGTAAGTCTGTTTTTGAGGTCATTTCATTCACTTTGTGTGGAACTTTACTGACTTGCATTCATTATGCTTGTTCTGCTCTGGAATAATACCAGAGTCAGGCCCATAGTTCCTGACCTAACAAACAACATTATACTGTATTCAGTCATAGCATGAAAATAGGAGGAAAGGCAGCACCAGACATATACGGGGAGATTATAAGGGTATGGGTTCATTCACCATTCAAGGTAAACACTGCAAAATTTTAAAACTGAATTCAGTTTTTGTTAGAGTAGCATGAATTTGTTGGCTATTGTTTCATTTCTAAATAAAACTAGTATGACAGAAAGCCGAATAGACCACAGGATCTTTATTGTGAAAGCATGATAAAGAATATTTTTCATGCAACACAAATGAGGGAGACAGAATGGCTTATGTTAAATTACCTCCACTGGCACGTGCCATTTTCAGAGCTTCAAGAGAAACAGCAGGGGTTATTTCTAGCTGGCAAACAACCACTCTGGCTTTACAGATGACATCAGAAGCCCTCTTCAGGTCTTCAAAATTTAAAAGCAGGTTGGCTCCTGGGACTATGACAATAACATTCTGTCCTAAAGGGAAGATATTGTGGTTTTTACATTAACTTTTGCAATAAAGTATGTAAAACAATTTCTTGCTTTTCTACAATACATTTCAGATTAGCATTTCAATTGGCTTTCCAAAAAAACCCCACTAAAAATGTATGCGTTGCTGACATTTTCAAATATCCAAAGATTTCAGAAGGTAATCAAGAAGATCGATGGACTAATGAATGCTACACTGCACAACAAATGCAGTATATATTTCTTTGGCAAAAGTCATGTATGGGCTTTCCCCAGTCTTACTTTGGTGTTTTCTATGAACTCTAAAGAAGTACTGTACTAGTCACAGTGGAAATGGGGGACATACGCTAAAGCTGGTATTTGCATTTTCCTAAAATATTCCAGTAGCACTTGGAAGAGAAAAGCATCAATGTGATTACTGAGTTCATATTCCAAAAATGCCATAAAAATTTAAATTTTCCTATCAGCTGGAAACAGAGACTATTTCACACAGCTATGAAAATTATGTACGTTCTTTAGATTTCAGAGAAGCAGGCTTGGTCCATTCACCTGTGACACTTCAAGTTAGGGTCCCTAACCATCATGAAAACCAGAATCAGCTTGCCACCAAAACCCAGAAAGGTTAATGCTTGTGTCTAAGGGAAGTTTTATCGGAAGTGAGTAAAGAAGGTGGGTGACATTCTTCTGCTCTGAAAGCTGGCCAGTAGAATGGTCTAAGCAAACCTATATGTGTAGAAACACGGCAGTATCTCAAAGCGCATCTAAGATCCTTTTCATTCTCGTAGTTTGTTTCACAGTTAGGTGAGGAGGTTCATTTATGTAGGTTCCAAATATTCCTTTGTTTTTCTTCAGACATGCAAGTTGCCTTCTTTTATTGCAGTTTCTTTCTTTCATTCTTTCTTTTTTTAATCCCTGTTACAACACCTAGAGACCTCAGGCATGGGTGCCTCAAATTAAAATTTATTATTAATCACTCAGGTATTAAATTCAATAAGTCAGTTGTTCCTTGATTTACAGGCCCAGCCCGCCCCCGCTGAAGATTCCTTTAAGGACTGCCAATCATTAAAGGCTACCAATTCTGTAATGAACTGAATTACTCTGTAAATAAATATTTATGTTTTTAAATACATTATTTTTGTTGAATGCGACTTCAAAGTCCTCTGAATAAGAAATGTGCAAAGCTTGTCTCCCTAAATATGTTCTGAAGAGAAAGCAGGACAATGGAAAGAATAATATAGTGATCTCAGAGGGAGGGGCCCAAGCTTTCCAAAGCAATTCTGCTGTCAATGGTTTGGTACAGAACAGCTGCATATGAAAAGCAAAACCTCAGCATTTAAAGCCAACACCCTGCTTTTCAACAGACAATGATGGGCATCTTGGATTAAAAAAAAAAAGAAAAAACCTTCTGCAACAAGTAAATGCTATTAAAGATATCTGAATCCAGTTGAGGAAAAACATTCAAAGGCAAATTGCGCCTATTTGGCCAAGCATATATTTTGAAAGCTTATAGGGTACAGCAGTGCAAACAGTAAAAGGCAGGGAATCAGTGGAACAAAAATATTTCATTTCTGCCTGGACTCTGTGCTACCTAGAATCTCAGACTCTATCCACATGTCTTGCTGCATTATCTTGCTGAACTATTTAGCTGTACTGACATGTATATTATTATTAGACTTCAGAGCTAATGGCCCAAGGCGATAAGTAAGGCTGTTTGCTTAAACCCATATGTGCAAATTCAAGGTAGACCATGCTGCACTGGATCACAGTCAGAAGCTTTTCTCTGTAACTACAAAAGGTCAGAGACTTAAAGTCTGCTTTCAAACCTGCCAGGGAAATGCACTACCTGCTGTGGTGTAACACTCTGGACAGGCTTAACCCAAGCTGGAGGGAAAAAGCCACATTCTCTTCTTAGCTACATATACCACACTAACCGTGAATGACAGCAGTCACCACAAACTTACACCAGCATGCATGAAAGCAGAATCTAGACCCATGTACTCACAATTAATACCAGAATTTTGTATTACCAGCAACCATTTTGTTGAAAGCAATTATTTCTTGCCAGGAAAATCAGATGGGAAATCAGCACCAGGGACAACAGAGTTAAAGACAGATGGCAAAGAGGGGTGGGATTCATCTTGTCCAACATTAACTATTTTTTAAAGTTTTCAAAAAAATCCTACATTCTAGAAAATTCTAAGAAAACTAATTTCTAAAAATTAGTTTTCTAGGTTCCTTCGACAAGGAGGAGAGACAAGTATTTTCAGAGTTTTTTTAATCTTACATATCTTAGATATCTGTTTGAGGAGGAGATAAGCTATTGTCTGGAAATGCCTATCTATCTCTGTTAACTCTAGGTGAGGCCTTAAGCAGTACACCTAACTTGGAAACAGCTCAAGTGAGGTAAAATGTTACCCACACGAAGAATGAGAAAAATATACTTACTGCATTACAGTTAATTCTAACGTATCTTTACTTAGACTAAAAATTCACAGTTCTAATGGGAGCATCTACATAATTTTAAGTTTTGTAGACATCACCTATCATATTAAGGGCCACATTCACAGTTGCTATAAGCTAGAACAGCTAAATGAAGATGATAAGCTTGTGCAAGCTTACACCAGATGAGGACTGGGTCCAATCAATACTTGAAACAGTGTGAATGCTAGTATATGTAAATATTGTCCTCAGCTGGGCTTCTAAACCTGCTACTGTCACTTCTTAGAAAGATAGATGCCACCAGATGAGAAGTGCCAATGGAAAAATCAAAGGCAAACCAGTAAACACCACAGTGCAATAACCTTCAATTTATAATGGGATGACAAGCCTAAAAGCCATCAGTAGTAGTGCTTAGAACTCACCAAAATCTCAAACAATGCAATTATAACAATAGCTGCAGAGCTTCTCCATAATAATTCATAGGGAAAAAAGATGATATTTGTGACCAGAAAAGAATGTTACAAGGAAAACGTTTGCTGCCAAAACACACAGTTCATGAATACGAGACCAAGTTTTGGGTGTGTCATGGTATCATAATTTCTGTGCAATTACTTGGTAGGAGCATTGAATAGTCTTGTACACAAAACATTCAAGTTCATGATGAATGTCAATACATAGAAATTCTATAAAAATTCAGGTGACATTTCTTCATAACCCTGAAGGTTCAAAACAAAGATTTTTCTCTTTGGAAAGTATAATTCAAACAAGCTGGCATATGTATTCTAAATTTGCCTTGTTTATTTAGCCTTATCTAAATATATATTTTGAATGCTTTTATACTAGTAGTGCTATGGTATTGAAGGTACACTCACAAAATAATGCCTATTCACTATTCATGAATGATTAATAACTTTATCGTAAAGTCAGCTCAATGCCTATCTTAAGTGAGGGTTATCTCACAGTATTCTGTGTAGGTGAACTTTAAGTCCTAACTTGCAATAATCAAGAACACTTTAATCATGACCTGCCAACCTCTGTTGTCCCTCCACTGAATTTTCGCTATGAACATGGAAGTTGTCAGACTGGTTCAAACTACTGGTCCAGCCAGGCCAGCTTCAAGGCGCTGTCAACAGTCAGTACCAGATATGGGCAAAGCTGCAATAAATTTCACAGCTAATCATGTAAAAAAATATCCATAAAGAGATTTTTTTCCTACCTATATGTGTATGTAAAAGTACAACACACATCATCACTTTATGGAGTTCTCACCATTCAATAGCACAGTTAGCAGAAGGTACGCTAAGTGACAGAGCTAGTGGAAAGAAGACAGGCTGAAAGGGGAAACAAAAGCTGGGGTTCAAAGTGGTGCAATGCACCTCAAAGAAAACATGTTAAGAAAAGTAGCTGGATGTACCAGTTTTTCTCCTAAAGAGAGAAAGTACAGATTCGAAGTGTACAGGGTTGTGGTAAACTGAAGCTTTGTGTTTAGTCAAAACCTATCTGAAGAGGCAGTAGCATAAAAGAGAACAACTGAAAGGAACACAAGGTTCCTCAAAGATTTCTGCACAGATTTCTGAGACCAGCCTAGAGGGAACTTTTGCAGTGTCTCTGGACTGCACGTTTTCCAGTGCAGCACTAGAAACTTGTTAAACACCTCTCCACCATTTTGCATTAAAGCAAGGATTAACCTCCCTATATTTATTGAAACTATACTGTATTATCCCAGAATATAATGCAACTTTGAGAACATCAAATGTACCTGATAATTTTAAAATTTCTAGTACTTTGCTAGTTACAATAATGGGTGAGTTACAGCTGTGCAATCTACTAACCAGTAAAAATCTTCCCAGAAATTCAGCAGCACCAGCTAGACAAACATAGGTAACATCAGGGAAAGTTTACTTCAGAGCCGCCTCTGACTCTGCTCTCTACAGCTTTCTTTTCCTCTCTCTTCAGTCATACATCATAATCTGCTCCCTCTACTTGAGTATCTCTCCTACTTCTGCCTGCGATTTTACTAAGCTGATTAGAGTTGGTATTCTTCCCAAGTATCGGTACTTGTAAAGAATTGGTAAGATGAAGTGCAGGTTAGGTATGTGAAAATACAGCAATTAAAACTTGCCAATTTAAAGAGATGATACCTATGTTTTTCATTTGTCCCTTGTTGTCTTAACACAAAACACCATCACCAGCCCCAACTTCAAATGCTTCCCTTTCAGGTATAATTTGAACTAGCAGAAACTACTTTACATCCATGCATTGAATGCTGTGGTGTTTCAGCTATGCCAGCACAACTACTGTGGTAAAACATGCATGTGTAGACAAGCCCCTTTGAAAAGTGCTGTAAAACCTGTTTAGGTCAAATCAGCCAGGTTTCTACAGGAAAAAAAAAATAGTGCAACAGCAAAGCACATAAGTACTGCTATTTTATTGCAATTTACTAAATTCAGGCGCCAGATGGTTTTAGAGAGAAGTAACAACCAGAACCATTACCAATTCTTTGCATCTGTTTGCTTTATAGCTTAGTTCTGACCAGATTTGCTCTTCTACTAGATTTTAAATGAAATCTGAGGCCAGCAATAACTTAATTTAGGATTTTTCAGTTTCTGAAAGAAACAAACTACATGACATTATGCATTATTCATCTCACTATGTGAATCACAAGACTACAAAGACCCTTCACATGGACACTAACATGTAAGAGCCCATTGTGAACCTCATGGCACTGAACAATCAGTTTCCCTTTCCTGGTATTTACAAAGGCTTTAGATCCACAAGATGGTTTTGTTCCTTAACCTGCACAAAAATTCACGGTGTTATAATTTTAACAGGTCATCCTCTGTTCATTCAAGTTTAGACCATGTTTATCTTAGTTGGCCATGTATATGAATTGGCAAGTAATAAGACTACTTCTTACTTATTCAACTATTCTGGACAGCAAACTTAGTGTAAAACATGGTTACATGTACAAAACAGTGAGGCCTGGAAGTGTGCTACTGGATTCTCACCATCTCTCCTATTTACAATGGCCAGAGTAGTGACTGTATGTGGCATAAGAAAGAAGTTCTTAAGAGTTGCTGTAGTAATTTACCTGCTGGTCCAAACCAAGAGAAGGAGGTGGAAGTAAGAGGCAGGTATCCAGTTTATTCAATGTATTAGAGCTACCTTATTTCTGAATTAAAGCTGTCATGCAAGGCTTTGATTAATCTTACTTAGGGAAAATTAAACTGACATCTCCAACTGATTTGCCTAATTTTCCTGAATGTTCCTGTGTAGACTTGCCTTTAGTCACAGTTCCTTCCCAGGTTTGCTCCTGGAGCGAATAGTCATGTTTCCTTTCCCATTTTAAGCTGTAGCCCAGTGTACTACCATCAGGTTACATAGGAGCTTGTTAAAATGATGTGTCAGCTAAGCTGTGGTAACTGTTCAAATGAAGGCTTAGCTGCACACCAAAAGTGAACTAATCCAATCACACTTAATTTGTTATGTTTCCATAAACATTATTGGTCCTGAGCTTTAAATTTTGATCCAGACACATGTACTTCTAAGAGCTTTCAACTGCACAACTTGCTTGATGAAAAGATAAACAGAAAGTTTTCAGAGGATAATTTAGCAATCTTGAAGAAGAATATGAAAACAAGCCAAATCTTCTTTTCTTCTTCCCCTGCAATATGACCGCAAAGGCACAGGCTAAGGAATATTAACACAGAAAAAACAAGTATGCCATTTCACTGTGTATTCATCCCTACAGATGCAACTTGGGATCAAGAATTGTGGTAGTATTACATGAGAACATAAATACTTCTACTTATACTAAGGACAATTCCTTTTCCTGATTCAGGGCATAATGACTCACTTAGTGTGCTCAGGAGGCAAACCCCTTCCTCATAGTAAAACTGCTAGTTAAGTTGTGGTGGAAAAAGAGAGCTTTAATCTTCTGCTACACTGTGTGTTCTGGCCAATGTAAAACTAGATAGATCAGCTGGCTGATTGAATTATGACTATTGCACTGCTAATCTAAGCATCTGATTCTGCTGCTTTTTGGCACCTCATCCTACAACACTGCCTGCAATTAAAAGGAAGTACAACGAAGTGTGAATAAGATAATGAAAAAAATGAAAGATGTAGAAAAAATAATTCCACAATTAACAGTGATAAGGCAAAGTTTTCTTTTATGGCTGTAGAGGCAGAACAAAGAGGACAATTCGGAGTAGAAATATGTACCTTCACTGTTGACAATTATTGAAGCAGTTCCAGTAGCAGCATCTGTAGTCTGACCTATAAATGCTAAGAAAGGGAAAAGTTACAGCATGCATTAGTTCAAAACATTACTTTCAACCAATAGCATGTGATGCAGTTTAATTGAATTAAATCTAAAATGAACCCATAACCTCCAGCAATTTAAAAATGCTAATTACTCTTTCATGTGCAACAATGCCAGAGAAGCTAACAACAACAAAAAGTGTTAATTTACACCCACAAAACAGAAATGCGAGTCCAACATCCTTTAATTTGGCTACATCTCTGCTTTACAGAAAGCATGTTATTTATGCAGCCTTCTCAGGCACTCCTACATGGAAATATTTCTTTTATCCAATGAGACAATAGAGTTAAGGCTGGAGAAAAAGAAAATACTAAAACAACACAGCATTTAATTCTGTGTAGATTTGCATTTCAGCAGTAATATTAACATGTGCTGTGAAGGCAGCGGTGAGGCTGTGTGTTTCCTCTTTGGATTATTATTCAGATAAATTAACTAGAAGTGAGGCTGGCAGCACTGTCTATTATAAAGATTGTTCCATATTTACTACTATAAGAACCTGTTCTCAGCTATCAGCAAATTTGTCAAATACTAACCAGTGGTCCGAAACTTTCTGTGACAGGTGGGGTTTTTTAGTAGTAAAAAACTGTCAAAAAAGTTGAGGGCTTTTTTTCCCAAGAACTGTATCTGAGAAAAATCTACTGTTTTATTTGAGACAAATTCTGGTGACCTTTTGTTTAAGAAGCTCTGGTGTTCTAACATTTTAGAACATGGACTTGATGCTGGGCAAAAGTTGGCTTCCTTCTCAAGATGTGCCTTTTGTGGCCAATTTAAAAAACTGCTCACATTTGAACAAGGCTGAAAAAACACATAAGATCATGCTCATTGAGTTTTGCTAAAGTATTGCAGTTACCCACCCTGGAGGTACCCTTATGTAGCTCAGAGCTACAAGGGTCAGAGCAGAACTTCCCTTGCAGTTATTTCACCATGAGCTAGGTCTTCACACTGGAACTGAATGCAGAGAACTTGTGTCTCTGGTGCTCTCAATGCTCTTTCTGCAGAAAATAACCAGCATGAGCAGCAAGCTGCCCAGTTCAAATGTAAGAGAGGGAGTAACACATCAGTAAAGGTCTAAATGGTCTGAGCAGCACTGGTAGCCAACAGGTTGTGGAAGACAGGAAGATTGGGAAAGGGGAAAATTACAAACAGGTTGGAATTGGAAAGAAAAGGGGTAAGGTGCTATGTTAGCAAATAGAAGAGTAACGTAAACAAAGACGACATACAACAAGGATCCAAGACGTGAAAGTTGGCAGAACCGGCATTACGACAAGGATTTTCATCCAGTACCCAGTATCCTTATGTATAACAACAGGGATAGGCTAGGCAAGGATTAAACTGAGATGAAAAGCCAGGGACTGAAATAAGATGGTCCTAAGCAAAAAGGTCTGTGCACACTGAATCACCCTTGCCTCCGAATCTTGGAATGCAAGTCGGGATCCCGGACCAGCCTCACCAGCAGTACATCCTATCTTCCTCCACGGCTGATCAATGTAGGGGGTGACAATCTAACACCATTATGAGATATTTTTAGCTCAATCAGCAGAAATTGGTACCTTGGACCTAAACGTTCTAACCCTTCAATTGATCTATCTAGGTATCAATGAAGTGCTATATGGTGAAATTTCTGAATTTTTTTTCCTACACTTTTCTTTTGCTGCTACAAAGATTATTTAAAAATTTATGTTAAGATTGCAAGATCAATCATTTAAACATTTAGCATTGGGATAAGCATTAAGCATCAGAAAACATGAGATTTAAGGTTCCTTGTGGAACATACATTTTCATTAAGTGTTATGCATTATAATAGCTTTATTCATGAAGGAGGCATGCTTTGGAGAGATCTAGAACTGTACACTAACAGACACTGTTTTTATGGTATCCTTGCTTGATTTCCTGTGTAAGTTGGAAGGTATGCAATGAATAAACCTGTATATACGTTTGTGAAATATTCAGATACTATACTGATAAGCATAACAAAAAAGCCCACAAAATACTGACAGTTCTGTCTGTAAAGTAGGATTTGAATAATGCAGTAAATGAAGCTTGTGGCTGCACATTAAACAGAAAAGATAAACAGAATATCGAATTGCCACTTAGTGATTGCATCTGTCCATCCTTGCCTACCCTGAAGGAGACAAGAGTCATGTAGACAAAAATGTGATCGTGTAGTTAAGCAGCACACAATAATACATTTACACAAGAGAGAGAATTAGGGTTACAAAGGTGCAAGATGCTAGACTATTGTGAATACTTAATTTTGCCTTTTCCCCAAAGGCTTTTCACATTGCTTTTTGTGTGTATGTGTGTTAACAAACAGCGGCTGCAGTCTCTAAAATGACTGCATGTGTCGTTTCACAAAACAGAGTTGAAATGTACTGAGTTGACAAATGCATTTCCACTCTATCCCTCCCTTCCCAACATGAAATTGAGAATGAATAATCAGACTGGATTTTTCAATTTCTCACCAGGCATTACCATCATTAATACCAGCCTAAACAACTGCAGAACAGCAAGTTATCTTCAGATGACTTGCACTGATGTAATCATCTGAGATTTAGAGGTAATAACATTAAATTTTATTTTTAGTGGTACAGCTGATTTTGGAAGTCCCCTATTTTCACCCACATTCATTCATTCCTGCCAAGCATCAAAACAATTATTCATAGTTCTGAATGGTAAAACATATCCAGTAAGGCAATAAAATAAGAAACCCTCCACTACCAATTTTTAAAGCTTAAAAATAATATAAAAGGTTTCTTTAAAGTAAAATTTTACCTGTAGAAATACCATTCTTCTTCAAATTTTCAACATAATCATTGCCAAAGGAATCCTTCCCAACCTATACAAGAGATAAAAGGATCAGTTTTCTCTACAGAAAGGTGAGAGGATAGATAGATCATCTTTAGACAACAGATCTAATGTAATTTGGAATGATCTAATGTAATTTGAATACAACACCTTCTGTTTTGCAGCACTTTGCCTTATTAATAAACAAATAAGAAACTAATAAATAATAGTAAAAATGTATTAATAGTATTAATAAACAATAGGAATAGTATTCTGCAGTTTTCTCCTATATTACAAAACTCCCTTCTACACCCATGTTGCTATATTCAAATTTCATTCTCTTACAACCACAGTGTTCCCTTGACACTGAAGCTTTCTGGGGATTTTAAAATTTGGAAGTGTACTGAATTATTCAGCTTCAGATTGAAAGCATTTATAGCAGCTCTGGTGTCCTTCTTAATTGCAGTTCATATTTTGAATTTTCTACCTCAAGTTTCCTTGGTGGAAAAATATCAAACTGTGGTTATGGGATAGAAAGTGATGATAAATGTGGCATTGCTGATTTCCATAATTTTCAGTACTAAATGCACTGTTTACAAATTCAACATTTTTTATTTGCTTTATCCAGCAACAGCAGATCAAGTTGAGTTAGGGAGTCAAGCTACGCTCTACTGTTTCTCTAACAGCAAGGTAAAGAGCTTGTAATTTCAGCTCCACTAATCCTTTTACCTGAACAGAATTCTGCTTGCTGTTTATTCAGACTAATAAGCATTTCTTCTTGTTACATTACACAAGCTGAACAAAGGAGATAAGATATATGGAGAAAAAAATGGTATAACTTGCTTAATGTCAAAATAGCATTTAAAATATATTTATAAAGACAACATAGCTTTTAATTCACCACTTTTAGCCTATGTCTTTAGCATGCATAGTGTGTGCTCCCACTTTCAAGAGTAAGTTGTGTATCTGAGCGGTATCAAAGACTGACCAATGCTACAGGAAATATTTTTGCAAGAGAAAAAAAAATACCTTTCATATTAGAAGCCAAATCAAGATCCTGGTCACAGTCTAGACAATGAAGGAATTACACAAGAAGCCCCAAGTACTGATCCATCTTCTCATAAAACAGCACTAAATAGCTAACGGTGTATTTGAGTTACTGGAAGCACAGAGCAGCTGCCTCTGTTGCCTGCTGTTAGAAATTTGCCTATTTATGAGCTCAGTCCTTTAGAAAGCTTGGAGAAGACCCGAGTAGTAGCTAGTGATCACAACAATCAAACCCTATGAAGTGTCATGGATGGATGATCCTTCCCCCCACATATTCTATTGCACAACCATGTTTGGAAACATATTTTAATTTCCTACAACCTCTATAAGGGATCTTTCTAAAGCATTATTAGGGATGGTCCCAGTCTTTTACCAAAGGACAATGGCAATCTAGGTCAAAACAGCCTAACCAGACAGAACATTCCTCTAGTACATTGAAAAAAAAAACCCAAACCCAACAACATTTACTTTGGTCACTGTGTTATTCATTGTTTGCATATTAGAACATTTCTGTACCTCTGACTACTCCCAGTTTGCCAGACAGGGCGGGTTGTCAGAAGCTGCAACTTCTGACTGCTTTAGGCTGGATGACTGCAGCCATCTGCAATTTAAACGGGAGTCGCGCTCACCTCTGCAGTCCAACAGTAGTACTACTGGAATGCACTCCACCTAATGGTTATCACCTTCTCCCTCCCTCACTGCTACAAAGCTTCTACAACAAATCTCAGGATCTGCTTAGTTATTTCAGCAATGGCGTATTTCATAAGCATTTTCCAAAAGCTTAACTGAAACTTCCTTCCTTCAGCTCTGGGTCCTACATAACTGACAGACATCCCTTATTGTTCAACTGTCATAACAACTGAGATCAGCCATGCTACTTTTGCTCACAGCAAGACATCTCAGTGCTGGAGGGAAGCCCTTGGAGAGATCTCCATGGAGGTCCTTTTCTTTTGGATACTTCTTTCCATGTTAGTTCATCAGCATCCAACCTAGTTAATCCCAGTGTGTTTGAAGGGCTTATCTTTCCATTCAGGCTTTATCCCCAAGGAAGACAAAGTATTGGGCATCAGACTCATTTTAGATTAAAGGCATATTTACTGACTATGTCAAATTATATAACATTGTTTTAAATATTTTCTGCTTTTGCATAGACCCTGCTAGATGGACTATTGGGTAAACAAAACTAAATGTCTTAGTCTGCTGACCACAGAACATCGTATGTGCTGAAATAGCATTTCTTCTTTCTTGAGCTTTTAACAACAATAGCCGTTTGTACAAGCATTATGGTCATATAGTTTGCATATTAGAATGAGTGGAATTACAACAGTATTTTTCAGTCTGGGTTTTCCCTGCTTACTATCATGTTTTCCATTTGGAGCTAGAGGAGCTGGATGGCATTATAGCAGCTAAAATTCTAGCACCTTAGAGAATCAAACTCATTTGTACCTGAAAATTAATTACAACAAAACCAGGTACCTCTTGACAATTTTTTGTTTAATCTATTCTATATGTTCTTTCTTCTTGAGTGTGTTTACTCATTTTCAACATTAGGGAATTAAACAGGCACTAAAGACAATTATAAGACGGTAATACAAAAGGAAAAAACAATTGAAGATATCCACCATATTCTGGGCTGCATCTGAGATATAGCTATATTGTTACAATGAAGTGAGGATTCAGACTTACAGCACTTTAACTTAAATTTGGCTTACAGATCATCTAAAGAGAGAAGACTACATAGCATGGTAATACAGCACTTCCTATTTCTAAATGGGAATCAAATGCAGCTGGGGCTTAAGTAGAATTTAGCATATGCAGTATCAGGCTAGTGACATCAATGTCCTGTGAGGATCATTACAAATTGTTTGTCAGAAGTAAACCAGGACTTTTTTCAGCACATACATGTCTTTCAGACCAACATCCCTCCACCATCTTAATCTAGGATGTTTAACAGATTTTTCTGGTAATGGCCACTACTTCAAAAAAAAAAAAAAAAAAAGAGTAGCTTGGGGAGTTTGGAATCTCTCAAGACCACTGTGCAGTTTTCAGTACTGCAACAGAGTTCTTGTATGAACACAGGCAAGTAATTTATTTGCTTAGATCCTTTAGTTCCCTGACAGTATTCCTTTACATTTCTCTGAACAATTGTCTTTCTTGTCTTTCTGAAGTGGCGACTATTCCATCAATACATAGTTCTACTGTACTGAGCAAATTGAGGAGCAGAGTTTAAGACTGATACTGTGATACATACTGATAACCCTGAGTAACACCAGCCACTTGCAGAGACATCCAGGCAGAAAGTAGAATGCTGATTGCATTTCCACTACTCAAACTCAGTACTTGGATTTTACATTAAAATCCACAGCATTCTGTGGCATCTCTAGTCATAACTGTAAGTCATTCTAAAACTCCTTCTCTCAAACCTTCACCAAATAGTCACTGGCTTTCTTTTGTGTTTTAAAGGTATGAAGAATGCCTTGTCAATTGATCTGAGATGTCTACCTCTACTCTTCTTGAGGACATCCTCTGTCTAAATTACAGTCCTAGTGAGAGGATGCCACACTTCGGCAGAATGTCCCTCTAGTATTAATACTGATTCCATTCCTTGAACTTCAGATTTTAGAAGCAATTGTTGAACCTGTACTGGATAAAAAATGTTGGGAATTATGACCAAAACATAAGTGTGTACTGAGCACAGAGTGTGTGTGTGAGGGCCAATCTGGCTTTAAGAACCACTGAATACTTAAGATGACTTGTTAAAGTAAAAATAATTGAATTTTAATGGTTCATTATTGCCTGACTCTTAGTTTATTCAGCAAGAAACTTTATGCTACATCCCATTGACCTATGCAGATGTAAGACTGTACTGCTATGAAATGAGACTATTTTGTGAGGCTGTAAAGTGCATATTCAATTTAAAAAGTGAATATTAACTTTTAAAATTAAAATAATACAAAATGCTAACATTTATAGATATTAGAGTCATTCTTTGCTGTTTCTTTTCTCCCATGAATACACATCAGAAAGAAAGAAAGAAGACTAGGTTTTACTGAAATAACATAAATATGATTTTGGAAAGTAATTAGAAATTATAGTAACTGCGAAATTTTATTAGGAATGTAAATGTTTCCAGAAACATGTATGCACTGAGGAAAGGCTAGACCATTAAAAAATAAAACAAAATTCGCACTTTTGGTGGAAAAAAACCCTTTAACATTTAGCAGGAAATGTTAGCAGGGAATTCATTGCCAGTTCATCTTGTACTTGAATCTGATCATCCTTGAATGCAAAGATAATCAAATATACACAATATTACAGAAGCACAAACATTGCCAATATAAAAAAAAAAACCACACCACACTGAAGAATAACTAGTGATAATGACCCACAGAAATGCTTGCAGGTGTAATTTAGATTTATAGCTACCATTCTTTACCCTAATTATTGGATTGGAAAACCAGTGAGAAAGGCTTCCTTGAGATGTTTCCAGTTCTTCTCAAAAAATCCCTGACAGACAATGATCCAACAAATCTAGCATCCTCCCCCAGCTATGGCAATAAAATATGTCCAGTCAAGTTGAAGTTTCATCTACAGTTAGCACAGGATAGACAATAAGGCTAGAGAGAGAGAAAATTTGATCTTAACCTTAGTAATGATCACTCAAAACTTATAATGTTTAATGACAAAAATCAAAGAAAAGCATTGTAAGAATATAGCATCTGACAAGCTGAATCAGCCCCATGGTCTGTGAGCCAGTCTTTAGAACTGCTGTATATCAGATCTTTCAGAAAAGTGGGAAAAAAAATCCCAAAGCACGCAAGGGTTGTAGAATTTGGACATGAACATCTCATCCTAATCTCAAGTAATGAGATAATGATTTAACCCTTGAAGCACAAAGTTTAATATTTCTTCTCAAATTTGTTACTGGCTTGTCAGTGTCTGATTTTTAATCACCTACAAAGTAAATTTCATATTGACTATAATGCCTAGCACCTGAACGTCATCATTGAAGCCCTGATTGTTCTAAGAGTGTGGAACATAAAGAGGAGGGGCTAGTCAAGATTACGTGAATTTTGAACATCTCAAATTCCCTCCAATTCTCTTTTCCACGGTACAACAGTCTAAGTTTTGCAATCCTTCTTTATAGGCAATTTCTGCCAGGTCTCCAGCCAACTAGTCTTTGGTTCTGGCAGTGTTCTTAAAACAGCCTCCTCCATGCTTAAATTTATAGCTGAAATAACAAAAAGAAAAGGGAATTACAGAGGGATAAAAAAACCCCAACCAACAACTTTTCTGTAAGTCACCTAAAGGTTTACTGGAATTTGCAGGAGCATTTAGTTCAGCTGTAATCCAAGAGCAAGTCAGTGCTTACCTTGCAGATCAGCGAGGTCTTGGCCCCAAGTCGAGCAGACTGGACACACTGGTTGGCTCCTTTCCCACCAAAACCAATGAAAAACTTATGTCCAAGGATAGTTTCTCCAGCCCTTGGCAATTGTGTAGTAAGGCTATTCCAATTTAAAGCAATATTTACATACATTAGTGACTGAAAATAACAAGCATCTGCAAAATAAGAATTACATTCTTATAATCCTAAATGGTCCAACAGCCAGCCAGTAAGACCAAAAAAGACTTGAAAGACCGTTTAGGGTCTTTACTCCACATCCCACCAGTTTAAGTTTATTCTTTATATGCCACCTAGTCAAGCTTCTCGTTTATTACTCAAGAGAGGGATTGCATTTCTTTTGTTCATGTTTCATGTTTCTACAGGAAAAGAAGCACTTGATCCCTGACTGGGATTCCCCAGAGCTAACTCAATACAGATAAATAATAAATCTATAGGTCTCACTGCTCATGTTGTTTTAATGTAACATTCAGCTCAAGTTTACATATTGTTCATTTAATTTCATTACATCTAATTATACTTTTGTGAACCACCCTATGTAATTTTTCACTTTGTTGGCATTCACACCCCTCAAAATTGTAGATCGTTATCAAAACCTTCCTCCCCTCTGCTGTCACTCAGGCACACTGTACATATTTAACTTTTTTCTTTTTTAAGTTTTTGTCTTACAAATCAAGCTTTACAACTTCCCAGCATTTTGTTGTTTCTTGAACACAGTCCAATTACATTTACAGCCTTCTGGGGATGGGTGCCCAGAACCAGATACACTAATACAAGCGAAGACCCATCAGGAGTATATTCTGGTTTCATTTCAATTTTGGAAAAAACAAAACAAAACTGTAATTTTGTTAACCCTACCAGATGCTTTGCTATCCAGCAAAAGTTGAAAGGAAGAAAAGACACCACCGAGACTATGTATGTGGAAGAATTTCTCCAAATGCAAAATGTTCGCTTACTTTTGCCACTTCTATTAAAATACATAGCTCGAAGCTGTGTTTACAACACTCAGATTACCAAAATCTCTGCCTCCTCAAGGCATACATTCCAGGCACAAGGTTTAAAAATGTAATTCCTTCTATCTCTTAAGCTACAAACAAGTTCACATGTGTAGAGGGAAGGCCTCCTACAATGTACTACACAACCTGTTCAGACAATGACAGTTAGGTCAGACAGGTTTCCAAAAGTCTGCAGGGAAGAAACAGAGAGTGGGGAAGGGGAGTCTGAAAGAATGCAGAGGAATCTGCCCTAATGAGGAAGAGATTAACTTCAGCTCTGTTTGTCAATTTATAACATTATTTTACCAATAAATCTTACAACAGCTTCAAAATTGCCAGCCCTCCAATTCAGAAAAAAGGTGACATGCTTCTGCACTAGCAAATCACTACAGAGAGCTTTCTGAAAAGGATATGAAGAACACCTGTATGTTACTTTCTGAGTTTATGCTGCAACTTCTGGGGCATATTGGTGTTTGCAAAATCTTACAGAACTAATGACAGAACACAGCCTGATTTACTGAAAATTCTCAGGAAAAAGCAAACATTTTTTCCCTTCTAATTTTCAATTCCAGCATCCATCAGTCCAAAGTTTTAGGATCATTAGGAAATCAAGAAAACCTACAGTTAAACTAGCAAAGCCAAACAAGTCCTGAACTCCCAGAAATTAAGATTTTTGCTTTGAAGGAGTTGTTACAGGTCTGTGCTTCAACAGTAGTTAGTTTCCAGAGAGATACAGGTAGCGGTGCAGACTCTAAGAAGGGATGCTCACTAATGGAGCACCCCAGATTTTAGTGTGAGGGTATGGTACCCAGCCAGCAGGTTTATTTTGTGGGGGTGACCACAGAGAAACCCCAGAAGGCTCACACATATAGCTAATGGCACTCATTTTGTTTCCAGAGAGGCAGAGCCAGGAATACTTCATTTGGAAATGTTTACACCATTTTAAATAAAAATACAACAGCTTTTTAGAAGTATACTTATAGGTACCTTATATATATATATATATGGAAAGGGTTGCTAAGTTAAAACTGTTTGCCCACAGCAGCATCTGGCAGGTTGTTTACAACAGTGAGTAACTGTAAGGTTTCAGGGAACGAGGTATAATGAGTGTAGATAAATAATGTTTATTAATGGTAACATCTATAATTTATCGCTATTTTCAGCATTGGAAGCCAAACTAGTGATGGTTGTGGACCAGAGGATGAAGGCCACAAAACTCAGCTGAGGAAGCTCCTATTCAGCCAGTGCCAGGGTACTGCATGCACACTTCTAAAATTATGTGCCATTCAGCAAAGAATAGTTGTTCCACCCAGCCTTGGTAGGAAATAGTAATAGCAGCTCTTGTATAATTCCTTTCATCCACAGATCTCACTACACTTTAAAAAGCAGAACAACATCATTATTCCTGCTTTGTGGGTGTGAAACTTAGGCAAGTCATTTTGCCTTTTTGTGCCTCAGGTCAGCCAAGAAGCCAGTGGCAAAACCAAAAGTAGAGATCAGCTCAATCCCCTAGCTGACAGTATCTTCTCATTTAAATTCTGCAGTATGAAAATGGTATCAAGTCTCAAATAATTTTCCTTCTTTAGGGTGTTTTTCAGAGATTATTGCTTATTCTAAATCGAATTTGTTTCCACAAAAAGCTAATATATTTTTAGACAGAGATTAACAATTATGACATCCCAGCAGACATCTGCTAATAGCACTGCTCTGAGTTCATACACATTTTCAAGAAGTACATTCAACCATACATATTCTTGTTTTAACAGTGACCAGATCATGACTTGATTCTTCTCTCAGTTATGTTGGCATCAACATGCAACTCCAATGGAAGCATCATAATCGCACTGGTGAAAAAACAAGCTTGGTGAGATCAGAATCTGGGGCTCAAAGTTTCAAGCAGCATGGCATAACAATTGCCTGTGGGAATCAAACAGCTTGTTGAAGACGGGGAGATGACCTCTTTTATTGGTTTGATGGAAAGGTACAAGGCAAAGGGCAAAGGATCAAGTTGGAACAGTGATTTATAATTAGCCAGTTTTTAAAATAGGCTAACAGACTACACAAGAACATGCAGCAAGTTCCTGTAGCTCACTGTAAACAAAAACCCCCACCTTATTACATTTCAGGCATGATCGCCAATCCTTTCACACCAATTCTTCACTCCAGAAGCCTATTTTTATTTTCCATATCAAACAAATTCAGAGTACTGATCTATATATAAGCCCGGAGGTTTCACTTTCACTGAAACAGGTGTTCAAGAATTTTTGGTTTTGCTAATATAATGCTATTCCCTTGTCATTTAATTCTGCAACTAGACTAACTTTTGATTCACATCTGACAATTTTAATGAGCATTACAGGCTTCTGTTATGAATGGGCAATGATGAGTAATCTGTATGATTAAGGAAGCCTATAAAATCTTGACTTATTGATGGTGCCACAAAGAATACTCAAAATAGCCTAAAAGTGATGAAACAGCTAATGTTACTCCAAAACTAGGCTAAATAAGTTAATTACAAAACCTGTCACACAGGCTTTCAGAATTGTTACATAAAATGTTTTGTAAAGCCATTTCCAACTTTGATGTAATTTGAAAACACTGACCTGAAAAACCTAATGTAAGTTGCTATCCAACAGACTACTCTTTGCTTATGTGACAAATTCTGCTCAGCTTTGAGAGGATAAATGGTACAAAGGATATTGAGCTCTCATGTCTTATGAACAACCAGGAACTAAACTTGAACACCTGCAACAGTTATTACATGGGAAATAAAATTGCTATATATTATCTTTCGCAACTTGTGCACTGTACTACTGAATCATATTAATAGAGGAAAGTTCAGACTGAAGCATCCTGAAATAACTTGGAGGTTACAAATAAAGGAATATAATCACTCAGAATTTCAACTGAGTTTTTAGAAAACAATATTTGAATGTAAAGCGCACAGCAATGCTGCCCACATTTGTTCATGGGAAATGAAGAATCTTACATCCACTTAGTTTCAGAGGTTTGGGATTAATAAAAGTACACACATAAGAATTTCACCATTGCTGTACCTTCAACCCTTTCTTCCAGTAAGTGTGTGCCACAAGTTCCCTTAAAGGCTAGAGCTGATTAGCATTTGTATTTTTATACAGACATCCCTTCAGAAGGATGGCATTAGAAACAGAACAGAACCCTTTACTACTGTATTGAAGCACTGAATCAGAGGTGAAAGCGCAACTTACTGAATCATTACTGGCCCTTTCCCTGGTATTCTGGGTTTTCTTGAAAAGTTCCCATCTAAGCAGTGACTAGATCATATTCAGAGATAGAAAGTCTGAAGAAGGAAGGAGGGGAAAGGGAAAGATGTATATTAGCAACATCTGCATAAATTAATCCTGAAATTAATCATAGTTTGCTTCCAATTTCTGACACCAAACCAGTGTCTGCTCATTGTTTTCAACACATGAAAATACTATAAAGATGTATTATTACTGTTAGCTTAAGCTGATGTAAAACCATGACCTCCCCTCAGCAGCATTTTCCCACCTTCTCTTGCATTGCTTTTATTGCTCACAGAGCTTCCTAATTCAAAATATTTTTGTTCCAAGGGTCACTTTAATTTGGATCAGCAAATTGGTCCAATTTACTGTATAGCAGAGCAGCCAAGGTGAGCCAGAACTTGCAGGAATGAGAAGGTGAGTGAAGGGACAAGCAGGAGTGCCTTTGCTGGCAGCAGTACAGCCAGACTGCTCTAAGCCAATGTTGAAACTTTGACTTGATACTACTTTGTATGTTGAAAACACTGAATGCTATGTAACCAAGGTTTAATTAAGTGTACAGGATACTTAGCTCATTAGACATACTGAAGAAAAGCATAAAGTATCAGTATGTTTCTGAGAAATGGCATGTGCATGAGAAAGGAAAACAGAAAAGTATGTAAACATTTTTCTCTAAAGAAAGAAAAAAGAAAACAATATTCTCATCAGGCAAGTCAGAGGGAAAGAGAATTTGTACATTAGATTAGATACCACATTATCTAAGATGACCATCATTTACATAGTATCAAAAGAAACACTCAGACATTATTTTTTCTCCTGAAGAGAAGGTGAAGATCATCAGGGGT